GGGAAAGAGCACTGTTTCCTTGAATTTACATTAAAGGTAGTGCTTTTGGCTCCCCAAAAATTCTCCACCTCTTGATACCTCCTGAAATGAAATGAGCACATTATAGCACAGAGGCTCTCTCCCAGTTAGAGTATGTTTTCATACATAAGCCTCAGACATCAAGAAGATTGGGCTGGGACTTATCTGCCTTTTACCCATATTCTTCAGAGGGGTGAAAAAATTGAAAAGAAAAATTGTCTCAATTTCTTCAACATGCAAGACAAAAAAATTAAAATTAAAAAAAAAAAAAATCAATTTTCCAGTCAACTGTATATAGATTTTTTTTTTTTTTTAAAGAAAAGAAAAGAAAAGAAAAGAAAAGAAAAAAGACAACAGCAAGATCAGTCATGTGGACCAGGGGTCATGTTTTGGTGGGCAGGAGGATTGCGGACAGTGAATTCTAAATCTAACCTGCATGGCATAAACACCACAATGGGAGAAAGAAAGAAAGAAAAGGTTCCTTTAAATGTAAGAAGTTTACACTGGTCACCTGCAGTGAGCAGTCTCATTTGCGTGTAGGAGGAGGGGGTGGGGGAGGTGGCGGATACTGGTAGGTGGCAGTCTGTCCCATGTAGCCTATCATGTTAGTGCCTGGAGGCTGAGGAAACTGTTGTGACATGAGAGGCTGCGGCTGCTGGCCTGACCGACCTATCCCTGCATACTGCTGTTGAGTCGAGCTTTGTGAGGTTCTCCCGGCAGCAGCACAGGCAGCAGTTGTAGTGGTGGCCCTATAGCCACTAGCAGCACTGTATTCTGCAGTGCCATAACCACTTGTGCCATAGGCGGCAGCAGCTGCTCCATAGCTCCCTTGGGTGTAGCCATACTGGCTCTGGGCTGCCCCAAATGCAGAATTTGGGCTTCCATAGGCACTACCATAGGTCTTGTTTGCTCCATTGGTGTAACTGTCACTACGTTCACGGTCTCTGAAGCTGCCAGAGTCTCTCCGGCCTTCTTTTACTCCCCGAAGCCTCCGGTCACACTCCTCCTGGTACATCAGATTAGGGTTGTTGGAGGAACTGGTGGTACGGTAACGAGACCGACCTCCTGAGGGTGGAAATGAAGTTCAGTGCTGTGCTTAACTCGGTTACAAAAGGTCTCCAAAATCCTGTTGTTTTGTTTGTTTTTTTTTTGTTGTTTTTTTTTTTACACAAACTGCTCTCCCACCCACCTATACCATTCCACAACAGGGCCAGAAGTCACGGCACAAAATTCTTTACCAAGTCATTATTCCTACACAAGTTTGTCTATGGCTCTCTTTTTCTTCATTGAAGCTCAAATTCTGTACCCTGGACTATCTTATAAATAGAGCAAAACAGGAAAGAAAAAGAAACACAGAAGAAATACAGCACTGACTTGAAATTCACTGGGCCAAAAGTTTACTTTGTTTCCTTGCAGACTAGAAGCTAAAACTCTCTGGAAAAAGGCCAAGTGTAACACACTGCTACCTAGAATTCTGCTAGGCAAGAAACAGGAGGACAGTGCTGCTGGAGACTCTCATCAGGAAAAATAATCTGAAATTAAAGCACTGAACCTCCTTCAGTTGGTTAAATGGACTCTAGAATGAATGTATGCTCAAGATTAGCAATACGTATTTTATACTCAGCCTATCTGTAGAAGAGTAAAATGGCAGGAGTTTGACATTGATTTATTCTGCTCAGGTTCTTTCCAGCTTCCCTCCATGCTGTCGGACCTATTCTTTCTACACCCTTTCAACATCCATTTACCTCCACCACCTCCTCCTCCTCTGTGGTCCACAAGCTGCATCAGTTTTGGATTGATGGCCTGGTTAGCTTCCTCCAACACTTTGATCAGCTCCCTGGCTTGTTTCAGGTTCCCTGGTGTGAAGAATGTGTAGGCAGTACCCTTGTTGGTGCTACGGGCAGTACGGCCAATTCGGTGCACGTAATCCTCAGAGCTGTTTGGATAGTCGTAGTTTATCACAAACTTTACGTCTTCCACATCTTGTGAGTTTCCCAGTTGGCGAAGCACAGTGAAGGGGTGGGGTTGAGGAAGGGAAGAAGAAGGGAAGGACGTGCCAACGAAAGGTGGGGAGCACGAATGCAGGTGACAGTAATAAGAAGAAAAAAGCCAAAGTTAGTAATTGCATGTAATAAAGATAAGACAGACTCATCCCAAAAGAGTATATAGTCTGAATGCTAGACATGCTTGAGCAGAGAAAAATGCCCTGAAAACTGATTGCAAATCTTAAAGCATGTTTCCCTCCATTCAAATCTATCCTCCACTTACTGAATCCTCTTATCATGAGGGGTTCTTGCACACTGCCAGTTTTGAAACGGCAAACTGAATTTCACTCGTTCTGTAACAAGATTAGCTGCAGCAAGTGAAACGCCACCTCTGTTGCGGACTCAGCAAGTTAGAGTGGAGGAGGGAGAGATCTGCCATAGCGAGACTTTTACTCTGTTGGGAGAAGTCCAGGAAAGACTAACAGTAATTAACTCACTTACCTTCAAATTAAACACAAGGGAATTAAAAATCTGTCTTAATTTTACTTTACAGAGTTTTTAAATTTTACTTTATACTGCATGATCTCTACAAAACTCAGCAACACTTTCCCTTCTCTTGACATTTAAGCAATTCCTGACATGAAATAGTATTCACATTCTGCCAATTTAAAAAAAAAAAAATGCAGACCACAACTAAAACTTCTTAACCTGCCTTCTTAGTTATTATAACACATTGCACTAACATTTCACCAGCTTACTCCTGACAAATTTAGGGGTTCTGATAATCTCCCACTTCAGTCTAACATTTAAAGCTTTTAGATATTCTGCTTAAGTGCTCAAAATTGCAAGTTGTACTATACACAAAAATGCTCTTAAACCTTAGCACAGACATTAAAATCTTGCTTTTCCAACAATAAATTTTTCCTTAAGTGTATGGGACAAACTAAGTAAATGTTAGTGTAATGCTTTAATTAAAATATCTTTAGTAACATACGCAATATTAAAAGAAGCACAGTATCACAGTAAGAGTCCTAACAGCTCACAAAAAAAAAAAAATCTGCATTTTAAGAAGAATATTTAGAAAATATCCAAGATAAAACACAGATTTTTGTGATGATGTTGTTGTTCTTGTTAAAAGAGAGAAACATTCTCTGTTTTTTACCAGACCGATGCACACTCCCTCCTCCTGTGGGAAACCGCTGCAGCCGATCCCGTCTCTTTGCCTTTTATTTTTGGCGGCCTCCTTTCGAAAACTCCGCCTTCTGACACGGGACCACTGGAGCGCGGGGAGCATGCATCAAGGGTCCATGGCAGCGAGAAGTCCCCACACACGCTCGCTCTGTGAACTGGCTTAGACGCTTCTCTGTTGCCCCATTTGGTTGTGAAGCGCCGGAGAACCTGGGTTCAGGTAAAAGTTTCAGGTCCTCCAACGCTTTCTGTGCCCCACCAGGGGTTAATATGGGCAATTGTCAAAAAAATGAAGGTACAAAAAAATGACATCCAAAGGGTCAGACTGCATCTATTGCCCAGACTGCATCAATTTCAAAGAGGGGCTAAGGGGCGAAAACAAAAATGAGAGTGTCGTGTCAAGGGGGACTTTATGTCTGTTTCTTATTACAGCAAGGGTGGGAGGGGGGCTCCTCAGTCTTTGCTGACTCCCAAGTCCTGAATCACACCAAAAAAAAGGAAGTGAAAAGGCAGATTTCACAGGGGGCTGCGCGAGTCTCCAGCTAGGGTCCTTGGCACAAAGATTTTTTTGAAAGGGGAAAATATAAGTTAAGAGATAGGTAAATATGAGACATCTTCACAGCCAGGGTTTAACTAGAGTCTGACAAGCAGCAGGCTATATGATCCTTTTCCAATCCCATTCTGTACATCCATTAGCAGCAGAGAGTGGATTACCACAGGGGTTACAAGAAAGTGCTTTCCTGAAAGAAAGCACGGGGAACTGTAGCTAACAGCATAGATGCTAATGACTTGGTTTGATTTGAGGGGGGTGGAGATGGGATGGGAAGGAGAAGTAAAAGGCAGGAAGTGTCTTCCAGACTACGTGGGGTTCTGTGTATGCACGTAAGTGGCTGAAGAAAGACCAGAGCAAGTTCTTTCCAGTCTGCCATGCTCCAATGTATTTGTGAACATTCAAAATTTTCCTGCACTTTTAGAAGATAGTGTAGCAGGATCAAGAACTGAAACTGTAACAGCTATTCGGACAGCTGCTCAGGCAGGGCCCTTTGTCAGACCACCAAACCACTTTACAGAACAGACCAAGGCGGGAAATAACTTGGGCAGGAAATAACTAGCAAACATGCTGTCTATGGAGCTGCTTCGACCATCAATGTAGATATGCCCCCGACCCTGCACTGAGAATGATCTGCAGCTGATATCAAAGCTTCTGTTAAAGAAAACAAAACAAAACAAATTCAATGTTTTTACTTTAGCAGAGTGAAGTGTAACCAAAAAAGTAATTTAAAAAAAAAAAAAAAAAAAAAAAAAAAAAAAAAAAAAAAAAAAAAAAAAAATCAGTGCAGAGGGAGGACATCTCCTTCAGGGAATCATTACAAAGAGATTATGGGACTCAGAACTTACCTGGAAGGAGTTTTTTAATGAAAACCTCGTTCCATTGGGAAGAAGGAAAGCCCTGGTGACTCAGCCAAAAAGCGCGCACCCCTGTTTTATGTTATTTAGGTAGAGCCTTCACTTTCCAGGATCTTGGAGGAAGTCGTCCAGGAGTTTGCCACTTCAGTGACTTTAAAGCAGCAAACTCAGGGCCCCAATATGAGCAGAGATGTTCAGTAACAAGAAACAGACTCTGGTACCCTTCCCCCACAGCTTGAAGTGGGTGAGGAGCAGTGGGGAAACTATTTTCTGAGGTGGTAACCAATTGAGTAGTTTTGGGAGAGCATTTTTTGGGGTGGGGGGGAGAGATGGGGGGTTCTGTTTTAAATGTCTAGGCAAGATGCACAAAGAAGCTACCAGCACATAGCAAGCCTGTTTAAAAAACAAACAAACAAAAAAAATGCTGCTACAGAAAGCAGCTCTTATAATAAAAAAAAAAAAAAAAAAAAAAAAAAAAGTGTTTCAGGCCTCAGTCCCTTCTCCCAACAGGCCCAAGCTCTAACTGCACAGGTCCAGACATGACCCTAGAGGGCAGAGACTGAAGTCCATCCAATCACCTCTCAGAGGAAGTGTTGGACAATTTTTTTGGTGGGGAGGGGAAGAAGGGGTGAAGGTTATGTGAATAAAAGCTACCAAGACTAATATTGGTACGTCCACACTTAAATGGCACTGAGATGCACAGCACACAGCCACCCTTTAAGCATATGAAAAAAATGGAGGGGGTTACATAATTTACACTCTTCAGTAATCTGAAAACTTTTTTCAGTACTACTAGATTGATTATACTCATAAAGCTTTTTACATAAAGTCTGCCATAATGAATCAGACTACTCTGGCATCAACTCTAGTATACCTCATGAGTTTGGAGAGTGTAAAACTGAAGAACTGCTTTAAAAGTATTTCTAAATTTATACATTTGCCAAATGCAAGGGAAAATGAATGTTTAAGCATCTTTCATGTTACAAATATGCTCATTAAAAAGGGGGTGTTTTAGCTCATGCATCCAGACATTTCATTTCCATATCAATGAAATAAAACTATGGAATTCTGATCCCATGCGTGCTTGGCTAGGATATGTAGTAAAAGGCTCAATATCACTTCAGTGGTCCTGCCTAGGAGGAACACAGAATAAGAATGGCTAAATGCATAAACAAAAAGTCTGGAGCAGTGCTTTCCCAGACGAGAGCACCTATGATGGGCACATTGTGTCTATGTAGAGAACTGCCTACACATGAGCAATATGTTGAAAATGAAGAATGATCTGATGTTGAACTGCTCTCCCATATATGTTTTCTCTAGTGCATCTTTCTCAAACCCCCCATAAATTGGGAGCAATCCAGCCCTACTATCCAGCCACAAAAAACTGGATTTGGGAAGGAGGTGGGTGTGGTGAAAAGATTGGGTTGCATAATTGGACGTCTCTTCTCCCTCTTGGCGATCGATTAGTCATGCCTAGGCCTTGCTGCAGACCAAAGCCTGTTCATTAGGAGCAGGAAGAGACTTTGAATATGAAAGAAAAAAAAAAAGATTAACGTTAAAAAAGGCATTTCACATGTGGGGGAAAATCACGCTTTGAATTTAAGAAAATACATGTTTCAGTCCAAAGAAGAAAAAATATGGAGCAGCAGGCAAGAGAAGCCTGTTTGTACAAACCTAGACCACGGGATGCAACATCTGTAGCAATGAGGATGGGAGCCTTTCCAGAACGGAATTCTGCAAGGTAAGAGTCTACTATGAAGTAAGATTAAGAGTCACACGAAGATAAATCCATAGACTCTAGCAAGAAGTGCCATCTTTCCAAAACCCAAAATTTGGCTAAGGTTTTTTTTGACAGGAAAAACATAATCCGCAAGACTGCATGGAATTTGTCACATCTTTTCTGAAGGTTTCTGCTTCATTTCCCATGAAAAAGGCTTCAGTACCGAAGTGATCAAATACAAAGGCCGAGTTGGTTAGAATAAACTAGATATGGGGTTGGCAACCCCCTGCACATGTGTTGAGCAACAGCATGGCACAAGGCCATTTTGCTTAGCATGCCACAGCTGGCCTGGGTGCTGGGCAGCTGCCACCAGCCAGAGAGCCTGGACTGCTCACAGCAGGTAGCAGGGAGGCTGCAAGCCCTGCTGCGAGCAGCCTGGGTTTCATGGCAGGCAACCAGGAACCAGTGCACCAGGGTCTGGAGCCTCAGCCCGGATCCATGACCAGCAGTGACTGGCATGTGCACCTCAGGGCGCATAGCGGGGAAGGGGTCTCAGGCAGCACAGCCCCAGCCCCTTCCCCATTGTGAGTCCCGAGGCATGTGTGCAGCTGCCACCATGGAGCGGGGCCATTTCTCTGGACCCAGGTGCAGCTATCTGCAACCTGCCCGCCACCTGCTGCAAGCAGCCCAGACTGTGTGGCTGGTGACCCAAGATGCACGTGCAGCTGCCACACAGCAGGGATGGGGCCGGGGGCAGCACAGCACCAGACCCCTTCCTTGCCATGTTCCGAGGCACATGCGCAGCCACTAACAGTAACAAGCAGAGCCAGGGCTCTAGTCCCCAGTGCAGCCACTTGCAGGCTCGCAGCTGTTTGCTGCAATGAGCCCAGGCTCCATGGCAGGCAGCAGGAGCCTGCCCAGAGCCCAGGCTACTTGCAATAGGCAGCAGCAAGCCTGTAAGTGGCTGCGCCAGGGTCCAGAGCCCCAGTCCACCTTGCTGCCAGCAGTGGCCGCACACGTGCTTCCGGGAGCATGGTAGGGAAGGGGCCATGGCTGTGCTGCCTCAACAAGGTCCAGGCCCCTTGCGACTCCCTCGCCATCCGCCCCAGCACGCTAACATCTTCCAAGTCCAGGTTGTGGGGGGGTTTTGGCGCTCGGCCCAAAAACACTGCTGATCCCTGAACTATACTAAGATGTGCAATAGTTCCAAATGCCCACTTCCCAAACTTGGACTTACCATTAAGCACCCAATCTCTTTCTGGCTGACTCTTGTCTCCATGGATACACATAGCTGGCCAACTGTCAAGTGAGAGATGCGCATGATTTTAGACAGCAAGTGCATATACTAGATATAAAACACAAAATTTTATTGTTTAGAGAGAAGTGGGCATGTATTAAAAGCATTCCAAGCACCACACACTGCATTCCTTCCCTCTTCCTTTTCTTTTCTCTAGAAAGTAAACTTGTTGAGAAGGCTCCAACTCCATACAATTTGGGAGAATCTGGCAAGTTTTGGGGCGCTTCAGAATTAGCTTTTAATGTAACAATATCAGTTTTATTGACAGGGCTCTTTTACACTATTAGTCCTAACTGGATGCTGTACTGCACATGGAAGATGCTGTCCCAAATCCAGACCAGCATACTACCCTTTCTGAGCCAGCGTTTCATAGATTGCAAGGGGCTGGAAGGGACCTCACAAGATCATCAGGTCCAGCACCCCTACACAAGGCAGGAACAACTGTGGTCAGGTGGCCCTAGCGAGGTGACTGTCCAGTCTCCTCTCAAAGATTTCCAGGATAGGTGATATGACAGAACCTTTCTGGAATCTCAATACTAATCTGGCTAAGGAACTGAAGGAACAGATCACTACTAAGTCTAGTAATAAAGTCCCCCAGTGAGTGCCATTTTGAGTTTCTCCATGAGAATTAAGAACTAAGATGCAAGAAAATAGTTACCCATCTCTACGCATTCTTCGAGTGAGGTCATCACATCTTCTCTTGGTCTCCACAAAGATTATAGTCTTGTTTTCTTTCTCTGCCATGATTTCTTCCATCAACTGTATTAGTCTAAAAGAGAAGAAAGAGCTATGATGTATGAACAGTAATAAAAAAGTAAGTTTGCAGCTTATTGAGAGAATTCATATAATAAACTACTATTTAAAAAAAATGATTCAGTACCAATTATGCAGAATTAAATTATTGTAGTTTTTTCAATAATATTGTTAAGTACTATATAAGCAATTGTGTGATTATGGGGCTAAACTGTTTAAATTCTGGAGGTTAAATAAGTGACACAGACGTTGGTTAATTGCTCTGGACCAATTATTTTTAAGACATATTTCTGTACAACAAAGATTTTATATTCCCAGCCCTGCAGGAAGATTAGAATAGTAGAACAATGCCCATACTTATGGTCCTTTTCACTCTCCATGCATACATCTACTATCTGCAGGATGTTGTGGTTGGCACTCAGTTCCAGATTGCCCACATTTATCTGAACATATTCTCGCAGAAAATCTTCGGCAAGCTGACGCACTTCCTTTGGCCAGGTGGCACTCCACATCAGAGTCTGTCTGTCAGGCTAAGAGAAAAAAAAAAATAAAAGGAAGTTATTTGGACATCATATTTTGAAAAGAAATTTGAAGAAAATGGTACTTCAAAGATGTCATACCCTTATTTGGTCAACAATTTTACGAATCTGAGGTTCAAAGCCCATGTCCAACATTCTGTCTGCTTCATCCAACACTAAGTAGGTACATCGACGAAGGTTGGTTTTTCCTGCTTCCAGGAAGTCAATCAAGCGGCCAGGTGTGGCAATGCAGATCTCAACACCTTCAAATACACAAGGGGAAGAAGTAAGAGGTAAAATATTGAACATGTAATGAAGCACTATCGAAATAAATAATCATCAAGAACAACTTCGTTAAAAAGTCATCTGCTCTCAGATGGCAAAACTGAGTCACTACTTTTTCACTAGCAATCCTAGATATCCCCTAATAAATAGTTGCATTACCCATTCCAAATTACTGTTATGGTACTAGAACCTTGAATACAGTAGTCCAGAAAATGAACACCTACTATCAGAAAGCAGGGGAAGACAGATGGTTTAAGGACTCAACCACAGCAGAGAGGGTAAAAAAACAAAACAAAACCCCACACCTTAAACTTCTAGCTGAGCTCCACCCTGTGCATCTGACTGCTACATATAAAGAGTTCTATATCAAAAGAGGGAAAGCATGGATAAATAATGAACTTATACTAGTTGGAGACCACATCGGTACACACACCCCGATCTTCAGTAACTACTGTGTGTACACACAACTTTGTGGCAAGTGGACCCTAAATCACAATGACTTTGTTCCATTTCATTCAGGAGTAAGTTTTCCCAGTTTCCACTTAGCAAGATAGCAGCGGACACTTGAAAGATACCACAGAACAGCTAGAAGTCTCCTTTGACCTTATTCGTCTGTCCGTACCCTAAGAAGTTAGACAAAGTATGAGCTAAACTGCCAAGTGCACTGGAAGCCATATTTCTACTCAACAGCTACTAGGTAAGTCAAAGCTTTCACTTCCTTAGCTGGCTCAAGATAAGGAAAAGAATATTGCTTCAGTTAGGCAATTACTGTGCGACTACCTGCTACTGTAAGAGATGGCATACAAATCTGGATAGAATGGTGATTCTTATGTTCCTTCCACCAATTTCTAGTTGAGTCTCACAGCTGAACTTGAGAGGCATAGTTGTACCCATGTAAAAGCAGCATATAAACAGGAGAAGAAAAGATTCTCTAACATACTCCCTATCCAACAGCTTGAGTAAGGTATTCCCTTCTTTCCAAAAGCTGTCAGCAGCTGCCTGAATCTGCTAGTTTGGGGCCCTAAACTGAATTCTTAGGGCAGCTTACAAAAGAGGGTTAAAAAACAACTATCCCCCATACACAACTTACTGTATCTAGAACGTAATATTTCTATCAGGTGTCCCAAAACCAAAAGGTCAGGGAGATTTTTTCAGCTGCATCTTTGAACACGTGCTGATATTAAACAGTCCTCCATAGCAGGGTAAAGCGCTCATAAAAAGAATTCCAGAAAAAGGTTTGCTGCTAGAAAGTTTTCCCCTTTCCCCAGACTCTCCATATCTGAGAGGCTTTACAGTTCTTATCAACTATTTACAAAGAGCAGGACAATTTACCAAATTTACTCAAATAACAAGACGAGGCCCCCCGCACAAACAGTATGGCGGTCATGGTTAAAACTTACATTCATGTACAAAAAAGTCTCAATAAATATACTGTCTATTATTAAACCACTGCCAAAAGCAGCATGTGCTCAATAATGGAAACAAATTATGAAGTTGATCAAATGCTAGCCAATGTTTGAGTACAAGTATAAAACACATGGCCCACATTGAGCAAACACACACTTAAATTAAATTGCGTGTCCCAGGCCAAATTAGCCAAGTCAGTTTTGAATTCTATCAGCTGAGCAGAGCTCAGTTATTTAAGTCTGTGTGGAGCTACCATTAGCAAGTATCCTACCTCTCAGATTCTTCATACTCCCAAATCCATGGCAGGCATCTTACATGTAAGCCGTAACCCCGGAGGCCTTGGGGTTCAGATGCCCCCTAGATACGCTTGCCCCTAGCTAAGAGGTCATAACAGCAAGCTAGAGGGAGAACCCAAGAGCAATCCTCCATTGCCATCAATGGTGAAGCAGAGATTCTCCTTTTGGGAGGCTATAGTGAAGTCTCGCAGGAACACCTGCCTGCAGTGCAACGGACAGGCCTCCACCCTCAACTATGCCAAGTCATTCAAGGCTGGGAATAAGAGGATCTCCCCTGCCAGTTGCACAAAACCACCTATGTGGTATCTCCCCTGCCAGGTAAGATGAGAACCTACCACAAGAACAGGTTAGTGCAGCTCATCTGAATAAGATCTATGGTAGTGCACACTGCGCTCATTCATGGTGAGCCACTACAGTGAATACTTTTCAACTTCCTCTTCATTTCTACAGCCAATTTGTGCCTTTCTTTCCCATTTCTAATGATTCTCCTTTTTCCACCAACCTTCAGTGTCTGGCAAACACTAAATGGGGCCCCAAGCAGTTCATTCAGAATCCCTCCGTCACCCCTGTCTCTCAGCCTATTGCATACAATTAGTGTGGCCCTGCTACACACCAGGTTTCTTTGCACCTAAGCTACATATACATTTTTGGAGGATCCCAGAACTTGTGCATGACAAGAAAACCCAGTTCCAGTCATAAATGGGGGTTAATTAGAACACGGCTGCTTTGGGTGGGAGGGGGGTGACGCGCGCACGCGTGCACGTACATGCTGAGCTATGGGGTCACAGCAGCTTGAAACACTATTGACTAAGTAAATCATGAACAGGGATCCAGGTTTTCCTTTTCCCACAGAAAAAAACCCCCAAAAAACAGTAAACCACAGATTCCCTGCTTTTAATGGAGAAAATGGGGGGGATCTCCCCCTTTAGCAGAAAAATCCGCAAATTCTCCACTTTTGCAAAGAGCTCTTGCAGGCTGGCACAGTTTCAGCTTACAAGAGCTGATTGCAGAAAGGGCGGGAAACCCCCAGCCCTGCCTGGAGGGGGAAGGAGAGGGGGAAGGGCAGGGCCTGAGCCTCTGAATCAGCCAAGGCTGAGCTTAGACTCGCCCTTCGCCCCTGAAGGTAAGTGGAGCTGAGGGAATGGCGATGCACTGGGCACCGCCAGCCCCAGATGACACATCGCAGTGTCAGGAGCAGGATTGTGGGGGTCGAGGGCAGGGGTGTCCCTCTGCGGACCACGGTGGTAGGCTGCAGGGTAAAGCAGTGGTGGTGCAGTGGTGGCCGTTGCATGCGGGCTGCACACATGCTGCCTGGCCGGTAGAGGGTGGCTCACATGCGGCAGCCGCCCCACAGCTAGCCACATGGCTCCACGGGGGTGAGGGATGGTGGCTGTGGTGGCTGCGTGCAGAGCAGGGGTGGGGCTTGCACGCAGCAGCTGCCACTGCTGTCACTTGTCTGTGGAGCCATGCCTGCAGAGATGTGCGACCAGCCGCAGGGCTGCAGAGGTTGTGCAGTGGCGGCCACCACATACAAGAGCCCCCCCTCCCCCATCTGCATGCATGGCTCCTTAGAAAAGTGGCAACGGCAACGCAGGATGGTGGTGATGGCGCCTGCGTGCCACATGGCCAGCCAGCAGGGGCGAGGGGGTTTCACACACAGTGGCTG